CTGTTTTGAAACCTATTAAGGCATCAATCAATCATATCCTAATATCAGCACATCAAGTTTGGATACACTATCTAGACTTGATAAATGTGTTTTTTGAGTAAGAGACGATTCCTGTGTTCCAAAACCGAAATTAAGATGGAATGCGCTGGTACCAGTAATAAGAAATATTGTCTTCAAATTGGAAAATTTCACGATTTTCATGTTTTATAAGATTTCAGGATTAATATGGTTACCATGGTAACCAGCACAGCCATTGACATAATGTTGTACATGCATTTTCAAGCCAGTGTTATTATGATACACCATGTCAAGTTTCATTGCATTTGGTTCTAAACTAAGTCTAAAATTCAGGTTTGAATGATGGAAGTGCAAAATATGTCAAAAAGCTGTCTGATTCAAAATTAATGTGGCACTGAGATATATGTTTTGAAATTTATTGCGGCACTAAGAGAGTTAAAAGGAAAAAAGATCGATTTTAAATTCTTTTTTTTTTCATTTTTTTCTTTTTCTGAGAATGATATGAATTTTTTAAAATTGTATCATTTAGAGTAATATATTGGGCACATTTTCTGAAAAAGTCAAAAGATTCTCTTCAGTGACCTTTCCTGGGCACCTACTCTTAGCTATTTTCAGTCACATTTTCAGAGGGCTGAAAAGGTTATTTAATATTTCATCATGTTTATGGTCATTCTGACCATTTTCCTTGTGTTCCCAGTCATGTAAATGATATGTGGAACTAATTAAACTAAGTGGAGGTCCAAACAGAACCCTGTTATCTTGATTCAAAAAACTCAAAATCCAGCATGGTTTTGACATTTTTTGTTTTGTCATTTCCTGTTAACTTCCATAGCACCTTAATTTGTATTTCCAAGTACGATTTTTTAGAATTGTGCCTGTTTGTGAAATTTAGTCAATAAACTAACCATAAATGTCTTGGATAATAGAAAAATCAATAGTGATTTTTTGGGCATTTTGGTAAAGCCTTTGGTTTGTAATGGGAAGATTGTCTTTATCACTAGAACTGTTCTGCATGGGGTCTTTTGCACAATTGATAAATTATATACTATACTAATACATTACTATATAAATTTGCAATGTCTAGGTTTTATTCAAGTAACTGACTCCACTGAGTGTGTATTCAAATGTTGTGCTTATAAAATGTATCGACTCCTATACTACCTTTTGAATGAAAATAAACTCTTCCAAAAGTGATAGGACCTTAGTGCACCCATGCCATGGTAAGGACCTTAGGTTGGCATGCCAAAATGTAAAATCTCTAATTGTAGAACGTGACGACCAAGAGAACATTTTGAGCATGTTCTAAGTTCTAGAGGACCTACTCGTTCGAGTACGTTCGATGAAGTTTGTAAATAGACCCCAAACGGTTCTAAGTACGTCCAGTCCGTCTCGTACACAATTGAAGCCCGATTTCGAGAACGTAGTGAGAACTAGTTTGGTGTGATAGAAGAGGTACCCTACTAGGGTTACCCTACTATCACACCAAGGTATTGTCATTATGTTCTCGAAAACGGGCTTAAACTGTGCACGAACGGATTTGACGTACTAAGAACCCACAGAACTGTTTGGGATCTGTTAACAAACTTCATGAAACTACTCGAACGTGTAGGTCCTCCAGAACTTAGAGCATGCTCAAAATGTTCTAGTGATCGCCACTTTCCGCAATCAGAACAAGAGACAACGTACTTAAGACGACCTGTACGCACTGGGGACACACTACGAACGTAGGTGTCGTACCTTAAGGTTCAGCTGGAAAGTAACATTTTGGTAAAAAAATGCTATACCTGCACATGTTATTTTCTGGTACAAAATTAAGTATGAAGTCATGTGTGTATTTCCTTGCTTTTTTCAGGAAAGTATCATTACACTGTTTACTTTTAGAATATCTGGAAACGGGTCAATGGAAGCGTCTGTGTTGTCTGGAAACTTTGAAAGAAAATTTGGAAAAATAGAAAGTGTGAAATATCAGAATTTCCTGGAGTTCCCATTGAACCCCTACCAGATATTCTAAAAGAAGACAATGTAATGATACTTTCCTGAAAAAAGCAAGGAAATTGACACATGCCTTCATACTTTATTTTGTACCAGAAAATAACATGTGCAGGTATAGCAATTTTTTACCAAAATGTTACTTTCCAGCTGTACCTTAATCCTACTAGGGGCGTATTACGATATTGTGTAGTCAGGCGTAAATTGCAGTCGTGAGTACCCCAATCTAGTCAGTTTGTAGCTTGTTATTTCTGTTCGTAGACAGACCCAACTCGACCGAATAACGTCCTTCCCGTTTATAAAGGTTCACAGTATTTTAGAACGAGTTCAACCGTATGGAAATTTGGTGGATAATTCAGTAGCATATTAGGACGTATTGAGAGCGAGGTTCAACTAATTGTCAACTGGTCTAAACTGATTAAGGACGTAATTGAACTGCTTGGATACGTTGTGTAGACGAGACGAACGCACAATTTAGCCCGATCTAAACTTGATGTACTGCAGACACAAAAAAGACGAGATGAACGTATTAAAAACTGCTTATGAACGAACTAAAAAATAGCTATTACGCCAGAACCAGTTGACACTGCATTCTTCAAAATGTTGCCACATCGGTTATAAACTGTGTGCGAACTGAATGAACTTAGCTACAACATTCTACGATCTGTTTACGAACTTCATGGACTTTCTCGGACGGGGAATGTGATTTACCCTACTATCACACCAAACTAGTTCTCACTACGTTCTCGAAAACGGGCTTCAACTGTGTACGAACGGACTGGACCTACTAGAACCGTTTGGGATCTATTTACAAACTTCATCGAACGTACTCGAACGGGTAGGTCCTCTAGAACTGAGACAATGCTCAAAATGTTCTCGTGGTCGTCACGTTCTGCAATTAGAACGAGTGACAACGTACTTACGACGAGCTGGACGTACTACGAACGGAACCATCGTACTTCAATCTTACTAAGGACGTTTTTACAACGAGTTGAACTGTCTGGGGACGTGTTGAAAACGAGTTAGAACTAATTGCAAACGGGTTTAAACTGATTAAGAACGTATTTAACACTGCTTATGAACGAGTTAGCAAAAATATAGCTTTCACACCAAACAAGTTGCCACTGCGTTCTTCAAAACTGGTTTTAAACTGTGTGTGGACGGAATGGACGTAGCTGCAACTTTCTAAGGTCTATTTACGAACTTTATGAACGTTCTCAGACGTGAATACGATTTTAGAATTTTGAATCGATTCAAAATTCGATGGCGACCATGCCGTTCTGTTATCAGGTCATGTTGACCTTCTAAACTAAGGGACGCGTTCTACGACGTTGCACACCGACGTGGTGCGACCTGAACGAACTGCAAACGAGATGGACGTATTGAAGACTATTTAAGAACGAAGAAGCTAATTATTTCAGACACATTTCCCGACCACAGCCAGATTGAGCCCGTTTTACGACGTTTTCGTTGGACTGGCAAGAACGGGTAAGAACTAGTTTGGTGTGATAGGGGGGTTAGAATTTAGAATCGATTCAAAATTCGATGGCGACCATACCGTTCTATAATCAGGTCATGATGACCTTCTTGACTAAGGGACGCGTTATACAACGTTGCACACCGACGTGGTGTGACTTGAATGAACTGCGAATGAGACGGTCGTATTGGAGACTGTTCATGAACGAAGTAGCTAATTATTTCAGACATATTTCCCGACCACAGCCAGATTGAGCCCGTTTTACGACGTTTTCGTTGGTCTGGCAAGAACGGGTAAGAACTAGTTTGGTGTGATAGGGGGGTTAGAATTTTGAATCGATTCAAAATTCGACGGCGACCATACCGTTCTGTAATCAGGTCATGATGACCTTCTTGACTAAGGGACGCGTTATACAACGTTGCACACCGACGTGGTGTGACTTGAATGAACTGCGAATGAGACGGTCGTATTGGAGACTGTTCATGAACGAAGTAGCTAATTATTTTAGACATATTTCCCGACCACAACCAGATTGAGCCCGTTTTACGACGTTTTCGTGGGACTGACAAGAACGGGTAAGAACTAGTTTGGTGTGATAGGGGGGTTACATGCAGTGCAATGAAGCCGAATCAATTACACCCACTCATTTCTCAACACACTTACCTCTTAGTGGATACAAAGGAAATCATGAACCATTTACCTATCATAATAGAAGATGTTTGGTCTAAAGGGATATTCCTTACCAGGCGATTTCTCTCCATATATGGTATACTTTTCACATTCAGCAAAACACGCGAACATGTTTTAATATGGTCAGTATTGATCATTTAAATTGAGTGTTAGTTTTCAGTAAAATGCCATGTATTTATATTAAAGTTCATACAGGAAGTGATTAAATCGACTCTCAATTAAGGAAAGTAGCATCTAAGCATTTCTATACAAGTACCTTACCTTACCTCCCGTGCAAAAATATTTTCAGGGCTTGTCAACTTGGAAAAAAGAAGAGATTTAGAAGGATTAAATAAAAATAGAAATAATATTCAGCTAGATTTGTAACTCTGAATAGCTAATAACCCAGTGCTATATGCAAAGTTGAGAGTGGATGACATATATTCCTATGTGAAATCTTAAAATATGACAACCTACTAGAATTGGGCAGGACGTTCTTGACTGCTCAATATTGACCATGTCAAAATGTTTTTCCTCGTTTTGTTAAACAAGAACAGTATAGTATATGCTATGGTTATAGCAACCATATAAGGGCGAGATGGTTGACAATGAATATCATTTCAATTTAGAGAAACCATATGGGGGTCATATGGTGTTTAAGGAGAATTAATAGGTTCTGATCAAGGCCAATGGCTATCATTTATTCTAAAATCCAATAATCATAATTCTCATCCGAAATAGTATACCAGCTTTCAATTATGTGTATGCTTTTTGAATTTCGCCAATATTTAGAATAGGTCCTAGTTACACATACGTACTGTAAAATAATATACCATATATAGCATACCTTTATAATCAACATAACCGGTTACCCACATAATGGTACTACCATCCGCTGGCAAATTACGAGGCGAAGGCGATGTCAGTTTATCGTCAGTGATTTTCAGAACAGCTTTTGCAAAATCCTCGTATGGCTTCAGCGCTGACACTTTTACGTCATACTCTGCAGGAAGTAATCCAACTATTGCATCGACATACGCAGGATTTGAGCTTTTGACGACTGCAATCAATAATGCATACTTGTAAATATATATATATATAATGCATATTTATCGTTTTTAGAAAAATCTTTTCCCAAATGTTTTTGAAATAAATGGCACTAATATTATAATTCCATCTTGGGATATGATTGTTGTGTAGTTGGCGAGAGCTAAACAGGTGTACACATTTATTCATCATATTTTTGAATAATATTGAGTATTCGTTAACTATTAAATATTTTGATTATTTACCTGTCATTGCCTTTTTTTCTCCAGTAACCTCAAAAAATAAAACATCTAAATTATAAAAGATACAAAATTAAAATGTATACATTTGATATTCATAAATTATAATAATCAAGAATATTGTCAGGACAATCCGTCCACATATCAGATATTAAACCAATAGTTGTTCATTATAAGAACAACCATATATTATATTTATAGATCATAAGCTATTTTTAATTTCAGCTATAAAATTAGCCCTCTCTCCCCTCCTCTATCTCTAGATACGCAGAGTTTCTAGACCGGCTAAGCACATCTAAAAATTACTAGAAATTCCACAATTTATACAGTGATATGGATTTCATGTTTCTATTGAATCCCTTATTTTGAAGTCTAGCTAAATAATCGAGTTTGATTTTAAACGTTTTCGGGGATCCGGGCAGAACTCAGGATATAGTACTTGAGTACATTTGCATTCAAATAATTCAAAATTCAAAATTGCAAATATCATGGAAGTTGATTGCAATTATGTTCGATGATCGTCAACATGAAAGAACAATATGTCTGAATAATTAGCTATTAAACATCTTTATCAAAACTTTCCTACACTTTTAAATGTTGATCTTGTCAAAGAGTACTCTCCATCTGAGATTCAGATGTAGATCTAAAATCAAATTGATTTCAAAGGTATTTATAGATGGTTTACATGAGGGGTTCTGTCCATGTGGGTGGTGTATTCCTTTCATAACAAAGAGTTGTTTTGCTTCCGGGGTCCTAAATTATTCAATTTTAAATAGTAACTAATAAGATTAAACAGATCAAAAAGACTCGGGGCACTGCCGTCGCCCCATCATGATCAATACAGGTGACAATAAGCGACACATGTTTCAGCGTCATGATAGTAAACCATGACATCTCAAATCTTCCCAGCCCTTGATTTTTGAGATCTTTCATCCCAGCTCATATTTCATCTAATTGGGGTCATAAAACTTGTGTAACTGTGCCTGTTGCATCCTCGCTGGAAGGGTATTTTACAAGTATAAATGAAGTCCTTTGAAGAAGGATGTGCCTGTTGTTAAATACATGTACAATGCCTTACTACATTATGTAATGTATTGACATTAAGGTAGATGATTACATGATAACAATCACACTTATTGACATTCATAACTCTTCCCATCTGATATGCTCAGATCACAGAATATGCCTCATTATATCAGAGCATGTTTCAGGCGTTCCAGACCCATAGCCAGGATTTGCCAAGGGGTGGGTTACTTTTTTAAGAAATTCCAGGGGGAGTTTACTTTTGGCAATGTTAGTTCAAAAATGAGCAAAATAATTTAAAAGGTGCTCAGTATGGGGTAAAAAATGCAATTTTGGTCACGGAGGGGGGGGGGGGGGGGGGGTTCGCTAGAACCAATCTATCCCCCCTGTATTCGGGCCTGCATGTGCTATCTACATATTTGACAATTTGATTGACACGGTTCAAAGTGGACTTTGTTAATTATTCAAACTGTTTTAATATCTAGGAATATGCGTCCAAGTTAAAATCACTCGAAATCAGGGTAGATAAACCTAAGAAAAACACATTTCTTGTTTTCATTTGATCTTTAACATGATCCTGTAAAAATGTCAGATTTAGCAAAATACATAGGCGATCTCCATCTGTACACATCTACTCATTTCGACTAAGCTATTGCCTATACTTACACGCACACTTTTAAATTAATTTTATTTTGATAATGATTTAAAAAACACAAATTATTATTAACACGAAATTAAAATGATTGTTATATTCCAAAATGAATCCTAGTAAAGTATAATTAAGCGCGACTATAGGGCATAACAACATGTGGCCGGTCTAATTATACTGTTTGTTTTGATAAGGCTGTGCAAAGAGATATAAAAACTCTTGACACGCTCTTTACACGCGAGGTCTTTGCACCTCTTGACACGTCTTGGAATCTCTAGATACGCGGAGTTCCTAGACTATCTTTGCACGTCTAGAAATTGCTTGAAATTTCACATTTGACGCAGTGAGGGATCAACGTCGGATAAATGAATAAATAATCATAAGTAAATTTTGGTTATGATCGATGCTAACAAAGTTTCATCATTATTTACCCGTTGAAAAGAAAAATAATGAAATTAATACACATTCCCTTCCCTTCAATAACTTTGGCAACCACAAGCCCAATTGGGATCACTTGTCTTACAAAAGGCTTTTTATCTTTGTCGATTTTAGGTTTTCAAATCATCTCGGTCAATTCAAACCCGAAACCTAACCCCCCTATCACACCAAACTATTTTTAACCGGTCTTGTCAGTCCTAGGAAAACGTCGTAAAACGGGCTCAATCTGACTGTGGTCGGGAAATATGTCTAAAATACTAGCTACTTCGTTCATAAACAGTCTTCAATACGTCCATTTCATTCGCAGTTCGTTCAGGTCGCACCACGTTGGTGTGCAGCGTCGTATAACGCGTCCCTTCGTCTAGAAGGTCATCATGACCTGATTACAGAACGGTATGGTCGCCATCGAATTTTTAATCGATTCAAAATTCTAAATCAAATTCCCCATCCGGGAGAGTCCATGAAGTTCGGAAACAGACCGTATAACTGCGTTGTAGCTACGTTCATTCCGTTCGAACAGAGTTTAAAACCAGTTTTAAGAACGCAGTGTTAACTTGCTTGGTGTGATAGCTATATTTTTGCTAACCCCCTATCACACCAAACCAGTTCTTACCCGTTCTTGCCAGTCCTACGAAAATGTCGTAAAACGGGCTCAATCTGGCTGCGGTCGGGATATATGTCTAAAATAATTAGCTATTTTGTTCATAAACAGTCTTCAATACGTCCATCTCATTCGCAGTTCGTTCAGATCGCACCACGTCGGTGTTCAACGTAGTATAAACCGTCCCTTAGTCTAGAAGGTCATCATGACCTGATTTCAGAACGGCATGGTCGCCATCGGATTTTGAATCGATTAAAAATTCTAAATCACATTCCCCGTCCGGGAAAGTCCATGAAGTTCGTAAACAGACCGTAGAACGTTGTAGCTACGTTCATTCAGTTTACACACAGTTTAAAATCGATTCGGCAACGTTTTGACGATCACCAGAAAATGCTCTTAATTCTGGAGGACCTACTCGTTCTAGTAGTTTTATGAAGTTTGTAAACAGATCCCAAACGGTTCTTAGTGGGTTCTTAGTACGTCAAATCCGTTCGTGCACAGTTTAAGCCCGTTTTTGAGAACGTAGTGAGAACTAGTTTGGTGTGATAGTAGGGTAACACATTGATAAATACGTTCCTCATAAGTTTTAACCCGTTTGCAATTAGTTCTACTTCGTTCTCAATACGTCCTCAGACAGTTCAACTCGTTGTAAAAACTTCCCTGGTAGGATTGAAGTACGACGGTTCCGTTCGTAGTGCATCGATATCGTCGTTAGTAGGTTGTCACTCGTTCTTTGGTGTGATAGTAGGGTAAGCAACCAAAAGGACTACAGTTGTGTTGTATCATATGAAAAAAATGCATAATTCGATCCATATATCAATGAAAATGCTGGACTGATGGTCAAACCAGATGCAATTCAAGATATACTAATGTGGGACGTGTAAAGTATTAATTTATTTATCTAAATTATTACAAATAAAGGAAACGATGAAAAAAATAAACATTGACAGGTCTATCAAATGAAATATTCGGTTACCAAATGTATTGCAACAAATGTGTATTGAAAACCGTATACCCATTTCTTATTAACATTTCGACAAGCATCGAGTTTTTTAGAATGTTGAAATTGTTTATTTGGAGATTACAAATGAAATTGACATGTTCAGTTCTTGAAGAACTAATTTAAGTATCCGTTGCTTGCAAGTGAAATCGGTTTCAAGAGTTTTAGATTTAAAAAGTTATGACAACTTTTGTCATTTTTCCACGTTTTGTGAATATAAACAAAGGAGGTTGGGATCCCAAGGCTTTTTGGCTCACACAGTGAGCCTATGGAACCGACCGTCCGTACGTTGGTCCGTCGGTCCGTCTGTCCGTCAACATTAGCCGCACAAATTAAAACTGCTATTCGGATTGAGTCATATCCACATTCATTTCATGCATATCCATAATGCCTATTTGACCTATCATCGCCATTTCCCAAGTTCGCCCGGTTTCTGAGAAATTGCTGATTTTGACGTCAAAAATCAAATTTTCTGTAAATACGAGAACTTTGTTGAAGTAGAACTTTCAAATAACTTGTAGTAGATGCTGCATATGCAACTTATGTCCTCTGATGATTTCCAAGCTCTTGGAATTACAGTTTTTGGTGTTTACTCAATAACAGTTGACAAAAAGTAGGACAGTTTTTGAGATATTTCACGTCAAAAAACATTAAAACTCAGTTATTTTTCAACTTGCTTCAATTTGACCAGGAGTTCAAATCTGACATTGGTTTTAGGATTTGACCCTTACTTGACCTTCAGTGACCTTCGAAAGGTAAAAAAAATTGATTATTCAAATTGATTTTTTGATGTAAATTTTGGTGAGCTTAATCAAAAAAGAACTTCCTGAGCTCTGAATAAGTAAAATTTTCAAGGTCAAATGTCATCAAACTAGGTCATACAACTGTGCTATCTAAGTTTCTCAAAGTTCGAGACTACAAATCCAAATCAATATTTTTGTTTGAAAGTCAGGATATACATTCCTCTGATGGTTCCGAACTGTGTGAGCACAGGACCTTGGGTCCTTTATTTATTATTCTATCGACAGAGATGTGTGTGGTGTCTATAGAAAGTAGAATCAATTCCATGGAGCGTGCTATACAGTATCGCCGTGCGAACTAGCTGTGAGACATAATCTCAATTTCCGTAGGACAAGGTCACCATTTTCAATGAAATGGTATGATTTATTCCGTTTACTGCCAACGAAACCACTAATACGGAAAGATATAAACGAGGCCGTGAAAACATTAAATTCTACACAGGAGTGTTACCGAATCTTTAGGTCGGTCGTTGCCATTCGAGTTTTTTCCATATATGTTATAAACTTTAAATGTTCTTACCTTGAATATCGATGTAATATTTACACCGTTCTCCTCTTTTGCGACATCGGCTCTCCACAATGCAATGTCCTTCTTTATTTTGTCAAACAATGTGTTTGTCTTGCCGCCATCATTCAGTGATGGACACATAGAAATCTCTAACATATATGTCTGCATTTTAAAGTTTTCTTAGACAGCAGTCTAGTAGTCAGTTGTTTCGAAGTTCTTATAGGCAGCGTTATTTTTTACAAAGCAAAACTACAAGGCGTATCACATACCTGTCAAGTAAAAAAAATTGAGATTGATTAGGATAATCGGGAGAAATCGGGGGTTTACAGTAAAAATCGGGAGGAAATCGGGGAAAACATACTAGGTAAATTGAGAAATACGTTTTTGAATTGCATTTTGGCCATGTACTATTGTTTATTAATGTATCCATGAGACAAGTATAATATCATAATTAATTAATGTGAATACACACTCAAATTTTGACGTTATTATCCTGCAATTTAACAAAGCTTTAATCATGGTTTCCCGTATTATTCATTTGGACCTCACAGCACATTACTGACATTAGTTAAATATCAGAAATAAGTATGTAATCTACATCTAGTCGTCACACAACTAATTATCTTTGTGGCAACTCATGGACACGTGTTTATGTTATACAGGAAGTCAAAGATCTACCATCAATAAAAACGTATCTATGCGTTCAGGTACGTTGTATTGAATATATCAGTCTAAAAATGATCGATAAAATTAAATTCTCGTTTCAAATAGTTTAAAGAAGATTAAATATTAAGCAAACGGTATGTGTGGTAAGCTATTTCGTTTTATCACAAAAAAACTTTTGCATATTTGTTTTCACCACGTTCCAAATGTCATTGTAATTTATCCTATATGTGTTTCAATTAAAGAACATGGTCGGGAGATGATCCCCCTTGCGTTTACAAAGCAGCAGAAATACAGTAAAAACTAAGGTACCAAATTATAGGTCATTTAAAACTATCTAAGGAGAAAAACGAGAGAGGGGGAGAGTAAATGGAAGAATGACATTTAACACGATAGGGTGGCTAAGCTACATAAATGAATTTAGAGGGGGTGGGAAGGGTTGGTGAATATATGCTCCTCAAAAAAAGTTGAGGACCAGTCTTTTTCCTCATAGGTCTACATGTTAAACCCTGTTTGAACTCTTATTTTCAAAGCCTGGAACGAATGAAAAACTGATAAATGTAAATGGATATGTACCTTGACTCTATTCTCTATATTTCAGAAAATTTTCAATTCAATATCTCCGTTTCAATATGTCAAAAATTGATGTCAAATTTGAGGAAAATTAAAAAATAGCATAGCCCATGTAATCCAATGGGAAATGGTTAGGGTGCCAAAAGTCATATGAGAAAATATCAATCAATTCAATTGCTCTCAAAAGTGGAATGTAAATAGACAATTGCATTTTTTTAACTTGTCTATAACAAAAAATTGATTTATTTCTCAAGGTTTTACAAAGAACGAGTTTCAAAAGTCAAAATCATTTCTCATGAAACCTCTCATTGATATAACAAAGGGGGTCAAAAATACGTTGATGCTCTATTTTCGGTAATTCTCACAAAGTAATCTTAACAAAAAGCATGCACAAAGTAAAACAATTCAATTGTCTACTCAGAAATTATTTTTATTTTTTATAAATGTTTTACCGAATACATCACCAAAAATCTGATTTGCCTCTAGCCCACCATTCCCCATTTGTTTAACATGGGATCTGCCATTTTTCTTTTTCATTTTGACATCAAATTTTGACCTATTGTAATGAAGATCAAACATTGAATTTTGCAGACTTAATAGAGAATAGAATCAAGATACAGATTTATTTACTTTATCTGGTTTTATTTTGCTCCACGCTTAGAAAATAGGCATCCAAACACATATGGGGCTAACATGTAAACCTATGAGGAAAACCACAGTGGTCCTTAACTTTTTTTGAGGAGTATATAAAACACCTTGTGTAGGTTTTCTCCAAAAATAACACAGTTGTAGGTGCAAGCTATTCAATTAAGCTATACAATGTATAGTAGAACAATTGGATATATAAAATCTAGTAAACATTTAGAAATATGGAAATAAGCCAACATCCTCAATTTGCAGCTTCGCTGTACAGTCAAGCCACGAATCTCTTTCTCATTTGATCAATGTAAACATTGAAAAAATGAAATTTTAGATTGATATATAAATGCATATACCATTAGCCATGGGGTTTAAGAAGCGTTTCTCAAAATATTTGTATTACTCTAGCTTTAAACAATTACTTGATTGTGCATCAAAACGTAAATATACTCTTAAATTGCTGGTATCGATGATGGTGCATACATAGGCTTACATTGATTCATGTTTCAAAATAAATGTTGAGTTTAAAGATAAACTAATGTATTACGTTTGAATTATTTAATCACATGAACAAAAATAAATTGCAATAGTTGTTGTTTATCTTAACAAGATAATTTTATTAAGATAATCATTGAAATACATTGTTTTGAGTTTCCCTAAAGATAATTAATTTCAAGATTTTGTTTTCTAAGCTAAATAATATGCCACGTCAATTCGTCGATCGACAAAATGAATGTGCAAATTAGACACACATGTCTTCTTACATCAAAATAAAACATTGTTACGAATAGGTCAATCACTCCTCTTTTTGATATAAGTGTTATTTAACAGTGTCGCTGATGGTCGCTTTGGTTTTTAAACAATAACGTTTACATAATTTACACATTTAAAGTATTTTATTGCAATTAAAGCATATAAATATTTCTCCAATAAGTATCCCCTTTACACGAGAACATTTCCCGGAATCTTAAATCCAGTCGGGGCATTTAGAGCACTTGATCAATTCGAACTGCGATTGTAAATACGAATAATAGTTGACACCGCATGCCTTATAAATATTTACAGTGTCTGTTCTTTTTATCGGGCCTTTCCTTTTCTTCGCGGAAACAATTGTGTCTGAAGACTTTGAACTTGTAGATGTGGTTACTAAAGGCCGACGCTTCAATGTGGTTGAAAGAGTGGAAACGTCGGAGGGCGTCGATGCTTTACTTGACGTACTGGGTGTCGGGTGTGCTCGTCGTGTGGTCCGTTTTGGTTTTAAAGATGGTTGCTGGGTGACCACCTTAGCTACCTGCTGGGTCTTCCTAACGGTTATAAGGTTGTTCCTTTGCCAACCACAGGGTGAAGATAACGTATCTGTTCTGCATGCGTCGCAATAGCACGATAATTCTCGCGTTTCAACACTATTATCGGAAACCCCTCTCCTCACAGCATTGATTCGAAAGGTACCTGGTACTGGTTTATATGTCCAGTCGCCTTATCTTCAATGTTTTAATAATGCGTTCTAGGATTTCTTGGATTTTCTTATGTGTCCTGGCAGGCAGTTTCACGTTGAGACTTTGAGCGTTCCCTTCAGTCTGGCGTGTTTTGATTGTTTCTCTATACACTTGGCGTATGCGTGCCCTGTATTCCCGGGATACCTTGTTCTTTTCTCTGATCCGTTGAAGAGCTTCAGCAGACAGGTAATTTCTCGGTGAATACGATGCTCGCTGTCGCAATCGTTCTTGGTCTAAGAAGCCTTTAGTATCTTTCTTTTTCTTTCTCTCCCTGTACTGTGGGGGACAACGGCACTTCTCGGCGTTGGTGAGTGCCATATTCTTATATCATCAGAAAGGTCTGATAAGTAAGACAGATATATTAATGAGAGTGTGGGAAGTTATGCACATTAATAAAATGTCACAAAATTGATTATTATTATATCCCAATGAAATATTATTTTTTTTACAATAATGGCAAGATATAAATTTCCTCTAGTGGTACACTGAACGAAACGTTTATAAATTAAGTAATATCGGGGAATGTGCATCTATATTTGTCAGTGATTTTATAAAACTATGAACTGCTCAATCATCCCAATTCTTGTGTCACATTACCATAGCATTTCAAGACAAACAGAATATGCATCATAAGTAAATAACATGATCTGTTTAATAGATTCAATTTTACTTATCACTATACTAGTCCATGGTATGACTTCCGAATATGAAGGATCCGTAGCACACTATAGCGCAGCAACATTTGAAGCAATATTTATGAAGGTGTATATGTCTTGATTCTTTTAAAATACCATTTGCTGAAAAAACTTCCGGCTTTCGGGTCGAAAAATGTATTTCATCACAAGGGGTCAAAAAACGTAAATATTTTGATTCGAACTTTTATACATTTTATAAGACACAGACTGTTATTCTAAGCATACGAACAAAAAAATTGAATATCATAATGTCAAAATTACTATGATTTTACTGTAGATGTCGGTGTTTAATTAGTGTAATTATACAAGTGTGTTTTTCACTTTTCAGATTTTGTTTGATTTTTCAAATATGAGCTAAGCCGATTCAACAAAATTGTATGGAATATTTAGATAATTTTTTTTTTGATTGGGAACGTATTCGTTTTCTTACCAGTTAAAACATTTTGTTACCAGAATTTTTCCATCTAATCGTAAAGGGTGTAACAACAAATTATTGTCGATGTTTTATAAAACATAATACAATAACAAATAGGTAAGATTCATATCTAATTCGATGTTACAGAGGTATTTGCATGTTCATATATTCCAAGGGCATGTCTAATAATCAATTAGAGTCATATGCAGTCGAACGCCTTAAACTTCTTCCTCGACGTTAGTTGTGGCTATCATCAAGTTTTCTGATGGTTGTTTCTTCTTTGACTTTACCGAAGGATATAATCAAATTTTAGGAAGACAATGATAACGATTTTTCTCAATTATTCATGAATTCGACCAAGTCTTGATGGTTGTTTCATAAGCAACTGAGCTATATCTAACTACGAGAAATAGAATTTTAGCTGTAGTCGCAATTAGTCAAGGAAGAGCAATAGGCCTACCTTTATTGATAATGTTCACCGGTGAATAAATTTCATATCTTAAAACGTATTGAGACCCATTTTGTGAAAACCTAGCATAATTTAAAAATTTGTCATTCTTATATAAAAGTGATTCATTTGTAGCATTTATCTTATTAATACCCGAGAAACAATACAAAATGTCGATACGCTGATGACATAATCTTTTGGTATTGATAAGAAAAATAACCTCAAACTTTTAGCTTAGAAACGTAAATCATACACTTAAAATCATATTTTATTATTTGCTATTGCATCGTGTACTCCAAATTGTGAAAGTTTGGAAGTTTATTTTTGGAAAT